AGTTTTGCAACTGTATCCGGTCATGTGACCTCTTTGTTCAATACTGTATATATATATCCGTGTCAGTGTAAATTACTTGTACCTGATGATGACAAAACCTTGTCGAAACGTTGTACATTTGCTGTTATGTTAAACTTATATTAAAGTTTTTTTTCATTCCCCATTCAAGCCGTCTCCAGCCATTATTAGTCTTAAAGTGGGTTCCTCGTCATCGAATTAGTGATTTAATATTTAATGATCATTTAGTTTTCATAACAAGATGTTAAAAGTTAATTATTTTAAAACCGATAATTATGACAGCTTTCGTTACGTAACTCTTTAAGAGTCTATGCTGTGTATGCAGTTTGATAGTTGTACTAGACTTTTGTGATACTGTTGACGTCATCTTACTCGAAGCTTCTAAGTTTTTCTCGTTATGTGAATATAGTTGTCGCTAGAGGGCTAGATATTTCTAGATATTTTTTTCGTCGCGTGTTATAAATACGTGCAGATACAGAGAGAAAGTTAAGTTAGTAAAAGTGAAGTTAAACTGCGTGATTGTCAGTTTAGCTGTAACGGGAGATTTATAAAGTGAGAGTTTCACATTTTAAATTGTAAAAACAGTGATAAAGAAGAATAATTTGTTTTGTCAAAAGGTGTTCTAAAGTAACTGAATCAACCTTTGTAGACTTTTGACAACAAAAAAAAGAGAATTATTTAAAGCTCTAAATTCAACTTTGTTAACCAACAGTGTAGCGAATTTTTGCTGTACATACGTTTCACTTGTTTTGAATATATATTATTTTAAAATAAGTGGATTGTTTGCTGTCCATATATTGTTGAAATTGATTGCCAACAAGTCACAGACACCTACTATAAATAATCCGGCCCTAAAAGAACATGACAATATCACATTTCTATTTTATATCTTTAGGGGTAAGTATCGTGCCCACAACCGGCCATAGACAGTGAGTGGTAATGGGATCTGGGATATCGTGGGTTCTAGCATCCAGATCCTAATCCCTTATTAAATCTGTAGCTTTCTTTCTAGTTTCGCGTCTGTTATTTTGATTATGTCCGATAGACGGAATATCTCCAATGTTTTTGGTTGCAGACATTTACGCTTTGAAATGATAACATTTATTCCTTTGTATAAATAGTATAACTTTACGTTGTTTTCTTACAGTTTTGCTCGCACGATCACATATTTGTTTGCGCTTAAATCTATAATAAAAAGATTGTGTTTCTACGTAAGTATAAATATATACATAACTGTCAAAAACAACAGTCTCATATTTAAGTTAAAGCAATCACAGTGTGCTAATAAAACAGAACCCAAGTGCGTTGGCTGAGCGCGTTGTTTATGTTCTATTAAATTTAATTCACATACACATAATAAAAATGTGGCTTCACAACATGACAATGTGATTAAGTAAACATAATTTCGAATCAAAAACCACACGTCATTTATTTTGATAGAAAACACACAATACTGACTTTACACCCCAACAGCTTAAACTATAAAGATCTCGTAAAACTAAATTTAATTCTGAACTGAATCACATACACATTTCTGTATAATAAATATTCCAAAATACATACATTGCTGGACCTGATAAAAACGTTTACAAATATATATACATATATCACATATTTTTGTTGTTGTTAGACTGTTTTTTAACATGAAAATAAAACAGTGAATTAACTTACACATATCAAGGAAATTCCGATGATGATTAAACCCAGAAGCGAGGCCAACCATCTGTAAAATAAAAATCAAGTTTTTTGTATATTTTCGTTAGCACAGACAATTAATCACCTCATGATTTTACAATATATTACATCTCGTCTTATATTTGCTTAGGTTAACACAAGAGGGCGAAACCAGTTTTCGTTTTATGAAAATAAATTTCTATTTGATTATTTAATGTTGTATTAAACATGACAAAACGTAGGGAGCCCTAGCGACAGCTAAACTTTATCATTTATTCATTCATTTATGTCTTGGTGTGGCCTGGTAATTATGTGCAACGCTATGAACCGTTAGGCCCTAGATACGAGCCGCGATATACCACTAAATATGGTCTACGCTTTCAGCACGAGGTTATAATTGTAACAATCAGTCTCATTATTTTGTAAAGAGTATACTTTAGTCGACGGGTGCTGCAAATTGGTTCTTTAGCCTCTGGTCAGCAGGTCTAAATTAGAGATAGCTATGTCTAAACCATAAGAACTCAGACCTGGTCGTTTAGCCTATGTGTCACATATACTAGCTTGTTTGTTTGTTTGTAATTAAGCACAAGGCTACACAATGGGCTATCTGTGCTCTGCCCACCACTGGTATTAAAACCCTATTTCTAGCGTTGTAAGTCCACAGACATACCGCTGTACCACTGGGGGGGGGGCATATAATAGCTTGTTTGTTGTTAAGCAAAAAGCTGCACAATAGTACGTTCCTTGCTCACCAAAAATTTTAATTTGTTGTACAACAGCCAAATTATAACGCAATATATACTCACACGTTGTCAATGGAAGGTGTCGATGGAGAATTCGTTGTATTTGTACTAAAATGTTCTATAATGGCATCCATCGCGTATAATTTTAAGAATACCTAGGGGCTGTGGTCTCCTTATTTTTACTTATAAGATGACCAAGTGACGTGTGTCACAAATACATTCTGGAACAGTTGACCAAATTGTAAGATGTATATATATATATGTGAGTGTGTGTGTGTACAGTGGTTAACTCTCTCAGTCTTTTAGACCCTTCAGTTAGAGAAAAGTGCTGTCCATCATTGTCACGATTCAGTTGTGTTTTTATTTACGTATTTAGTCGATATTGTTTTTACTCCACTGTTTCCAGTCTCCATATTTCAACTCAGTCAGGCAGGAAACTCAGATTTTACTCCGAAATATTTATATTACTGAACCTCTAGTTAGAGTGGTTACTATTCTTACGTGAAATTTGTCAGTGTACTTGAGACCCCCCCCACACACACACACAAAGGAAAAACATTTACTAAACTGAGACTAACACGAGTCGAAACTAATGAAACCACCATCACAGGCCGCTGGTAGAAAATATTCTGATAGAAGAATCGAATATTAAGTTTACTGAGAACTTTCTGAAAAGCTAGTTAAAGCCCTGCATATGAATATAAGATATTGTTAATAAAAACTGAACACATCACAGCTTATAAAATCCAATATCTGTTGCCTCCTACATAGAATTACAAATATCCAAATCTCTGAACGTTATTCGTTTGATATGTATATGATGTAAAACGTAGGAGCGTTTCTAGGAAGAGCGAGTGTTCTGTCACTTAGTAACTATAGGTCATTACATCATAATCAATACCAATACTTGTCTCCCATTGTGAGATTTCTAAGTTACCTATAGAAAGTTCTTGTACATTATAATAATTAGTTTATTTAAACTACGTTTTGTATCACAGAAGTACTTATATTCACCATTACAGGTATTTATACTTACCGTCCCATTTTGTGTCCCAGAGGTCCAAAAATGTTGGTGCCGATCAAATAAGAGATACTAGCAGGAAGAAAAGCTGCTCCTTGTTGCCACTTGGGGGAGTCCATGGTATCTATCATCCATATTGGTAAAGTGGCCTCCAATGCTGTTATACCCATGTTAGCAAAGGCTATTGCACCTGGAAATAATATATACTAGTGTTGTGTACCAATTTCATATTCCTTTATAAACGTGAACATTTTACGACAACAACAAGTGAAAATACTCGATAAACCTTTTAAATTATAGGTTATATAATACAAAATAGAAATTGCACAAAAATACCAGTATATATGTAGTAACTCTTGAAGAACGGAAAGTAAAAGTCATTCTGGTGTTGTCTTATTTAGTAGAATGACCTAGTAAGAACCAGACACTGAAGATGTGTGTGTGACACTAGTTTAAATACGTGACTGTGACTGTATACACGCATGGCCTGGTGGTTAGGGAGCTCGATTCGCAATATGTAGGCCGCGGGTTCGAAACCCCGTATTGAACATACTCGCCCTTTCAGCTGTGAAGATGTTATAATTTGATGGTCCGTCAAATTATTCGTTGTTAACAAAAATAGCCCAAGAATTGGCGGTGGGTAATGTCGACTAGCTGCCCTTCCTCTAGTCTATAACTGCTAAAGTAGGAACGGCTAGCACAGATAGCCCTCGAGTAGTTTTGCGCAAAATTTAAAACTAACAAACTATATTCATTGTGATTTTCCGTCAAACAATTGAAAGATAATGACGTACACATATTTACCTCCATTTGTATATATAGGGGTCCGGCATGACCAGGTGGTTAGGGAGCTCGACTCGCAAGCTGCGGGTCGCGGGTTTGAATCCCCGTGACACCAAACATGCTCGCCCTTTCAGCCGTGGGGCTTTATAATGTAACAGTCAATCCCACTATTCGTTGGTAAAAGAATAGCCCAAGAGTTGGCGGTGGGTGGTGATGACAGGCTGCCTTCCCACTAGTCTTATACTGCTAAGTTAGGGACGGCTAGCGCAGATAGCTCTCGTGTAGCTTTGCACGAATTCAAACAAACCAACAAACAAAATTTGTATATACGTCTTATATTTTAAACATCTTTGGAACATTTAGTTAACCGTAGAAGACCTTCTGTAAATAACTTGTGGAATCAATTATCACAAAATATTATTAACGTTATTTAGATGAAAATCATAAAAAATAATGATTACAGTTAAGCCAGCACTGTTTTAATAATTTCTAAATATTTGGATACACAGACGCCGACCTACCTGCTGAGGTTAAGATATAAGGGTCCTTTAGCAACGTCAGTAGTGGTGCTCCTTCTTGTTCCTCTTTGGTGATCCGTGGTTGGAGAACAAACAGCTGGAGAACTTGATAAAAACAAAAGGAAAACTATACAATACAATATACTAACAAAGCTATACAACACAATATATTAATAAGAACAAAAACTATACAACACAAGATATTAATAAAATCAAAAACTATACAACATAATATAGTAATAAAACAAAAGCTATACAACGCAACATGCTACTAAAATAAAAACTATACAAAACGATTTAGTAATTAAAACAAAACCTCTACAACACAACATGCTAATAAAATAAAAACTATACAACACAATATCGTAATTAAAACAAAACCTATACAACACAACATGCTAATAAAATAAAAACTATACAACACAATATCGTAATTAAAACAAAAGCCATAAAACACCATATACTAATAAAAACAAAACAAAAGACTATAAAGCACAACATACTAATAAAATCAAAACAAAAACTATAAAACACAATATACCAGATGTGTATCAGAAAAGAGCAACTCTTACTTAAAACATTACAATTAAAGCACAAAAGCTAGAGTCTTCTATATGCAAATCTTCATTTTAAAAGTCAAAATTGAAGGAAGGAAGGAACTGTGGTGCATTTGATTTGTTAACTTACAAAAAATACTAATTTTGTATATTACAATCGTAGCTATGCATACAAAAAGAAATGAAACAGTTCAATCTCTAACGAGTTTTATAAGAAATCTTTTTTAATCTGTTCAGATACTCGTGACTTGGGTTTCAAGTCAAACTAACAGAAAAAAAAGCTGGAGTGACTTTTCAAAACTTTTATAAATAAAAGCATATGTACTTACTCATAAACATTTATCATGTTAAATGTGATACTTTCATCAACTTTTCTTAGTTTCATTAAGTACTTTCATCATGTCTGTCTGCTTCTATCTGATTTCTATCAGCTGACCCTTTTCGATCATCTTACACACTCAGCTACACTGCCGTAATAAATGTAACATATGTTTGTGCACGATACGTTTCTGTGTGCTATATTTATAGACTACTCCCATATTTTGTGTTCATGACCTTCGTGTACATGCAATATTTTCATGCACTGCACGAACATCTAACGTATTCGAGCAATATTGCTATAATTATGGTTGAGAGAGAGAGAGTATTTGCATAGCCCGATAGATAAAGCCATTAAAGCAATCGTCTGAGAATAATCATACATAATTTTTCAAAAAATCAGAATTAAGGATGTTCTCTTCAATTAACATTTTCTGGAGAATTTTACTAATTTTTATTAAACGCTTAGGATTCATTTTATTATTGGGATTATTTTATTACCTTATTCCCTTCCATGGTTGTGACGTTTTCCTTTTTGGTTGTGAAATTGAGAAATCTGAAAACAATTCGCTTTGGAAGTATGCATAAATAAACAAGTTTTCGTTGTAAAATAATGTATTTTCAATTTTTTTATGACTTTGTAATGTACGTATTTTTTTTTCAACAAACTACTTACCTCCGTCCAACAAAGCTAGCGCTGCCAACACAAGAAACGGAGCAGACTTCCCTAAGAACTCGTACATAACACCGCCGAACGGTGGTCCAATCAACACTCCAAGCGCTAAACCGCCAAGAGCTATGGCCATAGCCTTTCCTCGCTCCTGATCATCTGGATACCTGTCGGCCAACATTCCCATTCCTGTTGAAATAAATTAATATTCAGTACGTTTTTTTGAAGAATAAAGACAAGAGATACTCTATGTTGTATTCATTATCTAAGTTCTATCTGTTACGTAGTTGAAAAACTTCAGGAATTTATTACTTGTATAACTTTCGTAGGGGACTACGAGGAATATCAGAACACGATCATGTAGTTTGACATAATCTTGTTTTACATAACTTTTTAAAACTACGTAGTTTACACATAGATATCAAAGTACATAGACGGTAGTTCTTCATAAGGTCGCTAGAGGAGAAATTCAGAATATGAACATTCACTGCGTTACACCTCCGGTTCGTTAGTTAATTTTCCGTAAAAAAAAATTATTTCTGAAGAAACTTTACCGATACAAGTCCTTTCTTAAATAAAACTGGTTTATTCTTTCTGAATACAACTTTGCGATACACTTAATTTCAACAGTCGCTCTATAACAAACGCTATAATTCACAACGTCTTCTCACGTGCTCAACAATATTCTCTCTGTCCGCAGTTCAATTACTCAATACATTATTGCCGTCACGTTGTGACCGTCTTATCTATAAAAGAATACCGAGGTCTAGTAAACTCCCGATATTTCAGGAAGGGATGTGAACGTTCGAGAAGCTTGTGGCGTGATACTAGAGTCACGTGACCCCCGATGTCGTAACAACTGTATCTAAAACAAAAACCATCAAATCAATTTTAAAGCCCTCAGCATATCTATAGTAAGATGCCCTCTGAAAACATAAGAGCAAAACACGTCTCTAGGATATATTACCAATAAGAATATCCTTTATTATCTTAATACCTTTTGAAGCAGATGGCTTGTTGACTTTAGTTGACGAAATTCCTCTGTTTTAAGATGAGTAGGTTCCACTAATGGCATTAAGAACATACAAAACAAGGCTTTCGCTCCTGTTAATTGGTGCGATTGATGTTTACAGACACTTGCTTGTTTGTTTTGAGAAAGTTCGCGAAACGTTACACAAAGGTGATCTGTGCATAGCCGTCATTAAATTTGAGCTAACTGACTACAAGGAAGGAAACTAGTAAGTAGCACCCACCGCCGACTCTTAGGCTACTCTTGCCTGACCAAATAGTGGGAGGATTTGACCGTCCCTTCCACAGCACAATCACGCTCTCTAAAGGGCGAAGCGCGAACTTTCTGTAAAGAAAGACGAACCCTCTAATTAGCAGCCAGGTCTCGCTAACTACTAGGCTACGCCCAATCCTTATTGCAAGACACACAGGGTTAGTGATTGACTCTGTGTATTAATTTCAGTGTTTAAACATGCTTTTTCTTGTAAAGACGGCATAGTTTAAATGAAGTACCAGGAAAATCCAAGTAAACAATAATAAAATTCTAAATGTAAAGATGAATTGGATAAAAAGTGAAAATATATTTCCACGATAATAGAGCTCATTGGAATATCGTCTGGTTGAAAGCGTTTGATTAGTAGCGAAAGTCATATTTAATTATTTTCTACTCTCAAGTCGCTTACTGACAAAAGCAAGTAAGTTTCTGTTTAGAAGAGAAACTTTGATAAATAAATTACACAAACTTTTGGAAGTAACACAATGCCTGTATTACTAACCCACGCCCGATCATACGTCAAGAACACCACATAAAGTATTAGGTTCTATATCTAACAATTAATGCCTATATTGTTAACCCACGTCCGACCATACATTAATAACACCAACTAAAAT